GTAGTATGTCGTTGATTCGTCTATGTATAGTACAAGTAGAGCGGTAATATCCTTTTTTTTTTTTTTTTTTCCATCCAAATTCGCACTGAGTGTGTATGAATGGCGCACAACAAAATCGATAACCCCCTTTCAACCCCACCTCGACTGACAGCTCTGTGAATTCGTCTCATCCATCGGACAAACTCACTTCCGCCATGAACCACCGCCACCCTCCTCCCGAACCACCTCCAGTAGCTTCGCCTCCCTCCCCGATTAGCAATCAATCGGCGGCTCAAATCTTCAAGAAAACCACCCAATTCTTCATTTCACATCCCTTCACCTTTATCTTCCTCGTCTCCCTCGTTTTCGCCTTCCGCTTCAACGTCGAGAAGGGGGCCCACTACCTCATCTCTTTCGTCGACGGCGATCCTTCTCTCAAGTCCCTCATCTCCCGTCTTGACCTATCTGGCAACCAGCATTACCACCATCACCACCGCCACCCTCTCCATATCCGCCGCCGCCGTCGCCCCTTTCTTCACCTCTCCCGCGTCGGAACCCTTGACGAAGACTTCTTCTCGGGTGACGCCGATTACGCCCGCTCCCTCTTCAATCCCACCACTAAATTCCAACTCAATGGGACCTTTGTGATTCTCTCCAATTTCAACCCCAGTCTGGGGTTTTCGCCAGACCCCATTGTGGATAACGGCGTCTCTTTCGCTCAAACAGTTCGCTCTGGCGTGGTTGCCTTTAAACCCCCTCCAGAGCCATTAGAAACCCCTCAAGAAAGCGCCTCGTTACCTGCTGATGCTAATGATTCCACCGAGGATTCAAATGCTGTTGTTGATTTACACTTCTTGCTAAGGGGTCTTGAATTAGGCCGCCGCGACACCACGGCATTGATCTACTTTGTTGGGATTTTATCAGCTGCATATGGGTACGTGATCTTGGCATTCTTGGTTACTTACACCTGGGTCAATGGAATTGTATTTTATCAGGTTTTGAATGATTTGTTAAGGAAATCCAAGAACTTTTTCAGGGCTGTTTGGGATGGGTCAAATTTGGGGATAAGAAGGCTGTCTGGATTTGTTTTAATGAGGTGGGCTGTAAGGGACGCATTGGCTCAACTCATGGGGATATATTTTTTTGGGGAAATGGATGATCAGTACAAGTTTTTCAAGTTTTTTATGAGGATGAAATTGATGCCTTTCTCCGACGTCGTGCCTTGGGTTTTGGGGCATGAGAGAGAGAGCTTGGGGTTTATGGCGTCCTGGTTCCTGGTGGAACTGGTTGTGTCATTTATTTTTGCTATAGATACGTGGGTTGCCATTGTTGACTCGAGGAAGAGTGGGAGGGAGGTAGTGAAAGAAGGGTGCCACTTGTTGGCAATGCTGTTGTACCCTGCTGTGGAGATCAAGTGCTGGGAACTGATGGCTTGTGGTTTTCTTGCAAGATGGTTATTGAGTCACGTAATTGGAGACGTATTTGCATTGGTTTTCCAATCGGTCATGGAAGTTCATTTCATGGTGGCTTGGCTTTTGTTTTACTTGGCTGCAAGGCATAAAGATGCTCATTCAATTGGGAGGGAATTTGGGCAAAGAGAGTTGGAGGGCTTCCTTGAGGGTACCAGATGATATTACGTGAAAATTGATTGAGCATCCTCTTTCTCTGCTCAATTGTCCTGCAGAAGATAGCAGTATTTGTCTCATTCCTGATGCTGAAAACTGCAGTAATCTTCTTGGCGCTTGGTCTGTTAAATGTTTTACAGTGAGGGGCGCCCTTTTTATCCAATGCTTTGCAGCGATCATGATTCAACACTGCCATTGTTTGGTGATATCATCAGCCATGCTTTTGTATGTAGTTTACCACGAGGCAATATATAATCTGTATATCTGCATGAGAACCCTTCATGTGTATAAGATATTGCAGTCTGGTTGCTTGTGCACTTCAAGATCCCCTTTTTTATTCCCTCTCCCTCTCTCTCTCTCTCTCTCTCTCTCTCTCTTCAAGAGATAGTAAGTCAGATGTTACTCTCATTATATGTTTTGCAGTTCCTAGACTGTTGATAAAAGAGTGAGCTCTGTATTCTCTATGTAACATTGATGTTATAGTGAGCTGAAATTGCAAAAGAATGTAATTCCAGTGCTGCTATTTTAAGTTGAAGCTGAATTCAATTGCCTAGTGCACCTTCATTTATCTTAGTTCCATAAGTATGTACAGTAGACTTACTTAAAGGATGAAATGGTTTGGATTGTTGCACGATGCTCTTATTTTTTGGTAAACATCTCAGGTGTTATATACTTGCAGATGACATAATGGGATATTTATAGGGCAATTTTTAAAAGTGCTCATTTTGGAGCTACGAGTAGCCAATTGATTTCAATGTGCGTTGACTATCTTGCCGCAAATGGAATGCACATTTAATGCGCTCTGTTTTCAGCTCTCATGAATTCAAAGCTGGTGTACGTGGTTGTTGTATTGCTAAATAGTTCTCATCATTTCATGTTGTCGAAAGTGTATAACCTACAGTTTGCATTGCATCTGAGCTGGTTTGCCTAGTCTTTGGTAAACATTGAACTTGTAAGCACATAAATCATTTTTTCCTTTACTCCTTGGCAGTCTCCTGTTATTGTGAAGGTTGTAGTTTTATCATTCACGTGTTTGATGCATTGCCTAATAGGTTGGAAAGAACTAACAACCTTCAAATGAATGAAGCCCTTATCCTTGTTTTTAATGGATTTTCAATTAAGTGAATCGTATTACTGTGCTATTCATTGATATATTGTTTGAGCAAACTCATACTATTGTGTTAATCTTTGATTAAGTATTTATTTTATGGAGTTTTTGGTTATGTCATGTTGGATTTGGAAAATTAGCACCTAATTCTTCTTTGTTACCAATACAAAGCAAATTCCTTAGTTTGTGACGACTTGGTTTGCTTTTGGGTGTTTTTTGCAGAAACTTTGTCCCTAGAAGGATCGCTTTGTTGCCTGCCAAATTGTCCTCTTTTAACCCAGTCAATTGCTTAATGCTTTTTATGAAGATTGAGGAAGGAGGGATAAGAGATAGTGTCACTATAACTTTGCTCAAGATTATAAATGTTTACTGTTTGGATTGGTTCAATTGGGTGGATTTCGTTTCCCTTATTCATTTTGGGTTAAATTGATTACATGTGGCCTGTTACTTGTCAAATTTGCTTCCTTGAAGGATGTATATTACATGGCTTTGGTTGTTTTCTGAAACCACTTGACTTTTGTAGTTTTGCCACTTCAAAAGTTTATTATTTTTTGTCCTGTGGTTTTCTGAAGTATACTACAGTGAGGCATATCGATATGTATATATTTGTCCTCACTGCACCGAATGTAGATATAGGACGGAGTATTCTGTCCCAACCAGGTGGGAGAATAGAGTTAAGTTGTTTTTGAAATATTTCTCAAGTGCCATTGGAACAAAAGAGTGAGAATGTACTTGTTAATTGGAATTCAGGATAATTGTGCTGTAATCTCTATAAATTTTGTCATCATCAGTTTTTCCCATGATTATACTAGACATCTGTGGTTTTGTAAAGTGAAGAATTTGTGTATCTGGAAATAGGACCTATCCACTGCTAATCTGACAAGATTGCCCAACAGCTTAAGCTGGTTTGGCCCTAACTATTTCCTCTTCAGCAGTAGTAGTCATGGAGTTACGAAGGGGTAGTGCTAATTTTTGCTTGTTCAGTACCTCTTTTCTCATTTTACCTATTATCGTTCAGAATTTAAATTATATTACTTCCTAATCTTGCATGTGTTTGGTCATATAAGATCAAGTTCTTAGCTGTTCTTGTTTAAACTATCCTATGTGCTGCTGATTTTTTTAATAGCTCCAGTGATTGTGTTCAATAGTAATCAAAACTGTTTAAATAGTGCAGCTCTCTGGTTTGGAACGTGTTGATTAGGATTTAAATCAAATGGCACATTTTTGCTACCTTATAGGACCAAAAGTACCGTCTCTGGTAGGCGATACACATGCACATACCAGAAATTTCTTCTGGTAGGCCTTCTGCATGCTATAACATGAATCTGTTATGGCAACAAGTCAGCCATACTCCACGGTGTCCCTTTCAGTGAGATTATCCAAACTTGTTGACAGGTAAAAAAGCTCTAGTTGGGTATTGATATATTTGTAGGTCTTGTCGGGCCTGTAGCATAACTATCCCACTCAAGTGTGAGCATCATATTTATCATCCGTGATTCACACGTAGTTGTTTCTTGTTCATGATGCCCACCTCTGCTCGAGGACAACGAACATCAGTTGATTTCTGTTCACCATTTCCCATCCTGACTTTGTTGAATAAGAGAATGCTAGACTTGCGAAATTGTCAACAGTGAATGTAAACTTCGAAGAAACTGTAACATTCGGTGGTTCAAGAACTTGTAGATTTATAGTATCTGCAGAAAATTCTACTCACTTATTCGCTTGTTGTGAACTTGTGAGAATCCTAATTCTAAGGCTCATTGAAAAGCAGTTATGAAATGTGCTTTAATAGAATTGAATCCCTTCGCCTGCTTGCTTGATAGCTTAGGACAGTGTGAAAATGAATTGCCCCTTCATCTGACCCAACAGATGAAGAGAAAAGAAAAAGGAAGTGTGAAGTGTTAATGGATGAAATATTTCCTGGTTTTTACCCTGCTGAAGTTACTCCATATGTCAAGGTTGTAGGAAGTGCTGTTTTCGTGTCTTCCTGGAATTTGCAGGCGATTTTTATTTTCTTTTAAATCTTTGTATGTTCTGAAATCGTTGAGGAAAACCATGAGAAGTTGATTTGGGACGTTTTTCTTTGGCATTTATTTTTACCTTTTTGTGGGGTGCTAAATGCCACTAGTAAGCAGTGCCTTTTTGGCCTAATCAAAGTATTAGTAACTGCTAAATTTTCCAGCGAAGTCTTCATCATGACGCACTGTAGTTGCTAAAGGAAGTCTGGAGTGATTTGCTCTTTTTCATACCTTTTTTTTTTTTGGGTTTTGAGGGAGGGAGGGAGGGGGTCAAGAAAACTATTCAATTGTCATGAGTAAGGAAATGAATCTTACAAGCCGATTGGGCGTGGTGTACAAGAAGTAACAGCTATATAACATCGTGCTAATATACGAGGGAGTCAAAAAGATCCTGGCAAAAATCTGATCCAAACTCCTTAGGTGAGCCATCAAAGGGAGATGCAGATTGGTTGATTTTCTGGGGATGTAGCGCAGCGGACAACGCTAAGGAAAATGCTCTCATCGCAAGGGATACACAGCTTCGAGTCTGCAGTGAAATCATATACTTCTTGAGCGTGATCCAGCAACGCTCTGAACAGTGGGTGGTCGAGTAAGGTAATTTTGATCACAAATCTTTTTCTGAATTCACCTACGTAGATCGCCAAGTGGCCCTTGGGAACATCCCTGGGAACGGTCTTCTTTTTTTTACGCACTGACCGTGATGAAAGCAGTTGCCAGCATCTGTCACAGGGTGCAGGAGATATTGCTTTTGTATCCAACTTTCTGCACTTCCGTAGGCAGGCCCTGAGAAATTTTCCCTGGATGACTTTCATGCTTGTGTTTTGCTCGAGCGTATGAAAGAATCGGAGAACTTGCATGAAATCGAGGGATGGACGATTAAGAAAGGGTGGTGGTGTGATTGATAGTACGGAAATGAGGAAAAGGCTGCCGGGGTATATATAGAAAGGGAAAGAGCTGCCAGGGCTTGAGGAGATCTCATTAAATGTTTGACGTGTGTAGCTAAGATAGCTATGCCGCATGCTGGGTGTGACGGTAATATTTTACGTTTGCAAGACGGCTGGCTGCGCATTGCCATGCTGTAGCCTTTTTTTTTTTTTTTTTCTATTCTTCGAACTGTTTTTGGATACGAAATTGTACGAACATGCATTGCATGATTTTGTAAACTGCACGTACATGAATCCATACGCATTCACTCTCTCTCTCTCCCAGTGCAGCTAGATTTGGAGGGGAAGATTGAAGAAAAACACGGCATGGCATGACAGTATATGAGCGGCGGTTGAAGCCGTCAAAACATAGACCCCACAAGAAGCAGCTGCAGTGACGGAGAAGATAAGATAAATAGTATAGGAAAGATGATGGATGGGATAAAGCTTCTTGGGGAAAGTGCGATGCCCACTTCTAATTGTAGCACGTTACATTATGTGCAGATATCGTAAAATACTATACCAGCACTAGTAGTTTTTTTTTTTGTTGTTGTTGTTGTTGTTGTCATCATTCGTCTCCTGAGCATCTTTTTCGGACTAATTTTCATGCGCTGTATACCCGTCGCTCAAAATACACAAGATGGTAGAAAGAGTCGAATCGCGATCACACGGTGCTAGGACCTAATGAGACTACCCCAACACCAGTCGAGCCGGCTCCAAGGGGCCACCATCACTAGTAGTCACTGCCAGGATACTGGTGCATTCAAAGAGGAGAGGGTGGAGTGGAGGGTTTAGACAAAAGTAAAAGTCAAATTAGCGGCGGTTTAAGTTGATTGTCAAATTAGACAGTGGAAAATGTGTTCTTTTTAAAGGCAATGGATCACGAGGAAGATCATACGGCACGTCATGACACTAAGAGCACCAACCAGCTTGTGACTTTTGTGACTGAGATGGCAGCTGTTGATCAATTGATTGACTGAGATGGCAGCTAGAGTAGTACTTGGTGACTGGTATTTCATAATAGTAACTAGTACTATTTCAATCTCTGTTTCCGTGATTTTTTTGGCATTTCAATTTGTCTATATGTTTATGGTACCGTACGTGCATGCTGCCCCTGTAGCAGAACAGATCAGAGCTGAGCAAGGTTGTGGTATTCTTTTTGTGTGGGCCGGGAATCGGGGGGTTTTTTGGTTAGACTCCTCGGTTTCGTAATAAGAACATGATAGATTAAATTATACAAATATTATCGTTATCGACAAAAAAAGTCGTCGCAACTCGTAAAATGTAACGCTCACTCTGATGCACAATCTACATTTTGTTTCTGAGCATGCTTTTACTCATGGTCGCCAGATATTACACACAGCAGAAACTATTTTAATCTATGTATGTCCCCGGTGAGGCTGGACTTTGGAGGTGAAACTTAAATGGTAACTAATTTGTGCGTCGGTCGAAGTCGAACAGAATAATTTCCGCTTCTGGGGTTTTTTGGTTTCTGGCAATTGGCCGCGTACACTGACAGCGAGAGACATGCAGCCACGACTACTGAGTTGGCCTGATTAATTTGCATCTGCGGCCCTCATGACGAAATCTTTCCTCACAGTCAATTGGCCGACTCACGGTTGGTTGGTTATATACTTGTATAAAAGGGAGCTGTCCACTCAACTACGTACGTACGTAGCCCGAAACGCGACCATTAATTACACTCAAAAAAAAAGAGAGTACTGATTAGCATCAACAATCAACCGGTAATGAACTCTATCAACCGGATAATTAATTGGACATCCCAATTCCTGAGATCGAGACGGTTGGAATCTTCGGCTGGGACTGGGAGTTCCAGAATTGAGTGAATTATGCAGTACTACTGTTTTTTTACGACCATTTGCTCGTTTTAGCTTTCATATGGAGGAACAGTACGTACGTACTGGTACGTCTGTGCAAAATCACAGGTCGACTGACTGACACCAGAAACATACGTATGATACTTGCAGAGCTGTACATGAATGCTTAATCTGCCTGATTTGTGTTCGTCCTAAAACATCTCTTAGTTATAAGAAGATAGAACCGAACCCAAAGCGCAAAAAAGATGGTAAGGTGAATCCTGTTGATCCATCTCACTCTCTGGGCTCTGAATCTGAGAGAGAGAGAGAGAGTAGGGCCGGGAGGTGAATTTGGGAAGTCGGATTAAGTTGTCATGTAGTGAGGAATGGCCGAGGCTGGCTGGCACATGAGGATTGGGCCACAAAATTAAGCAGGCCCACGACCCACGACATGCTTCCTGCTCTGACACCTCAGGCTCCTGCCACTATTTTTCGCCTCCGCTCACTCCCTCAACTCTGCTTGCTTTTCCGGACTCACTCGTGTCCTCCTGCCTAATAAATACATCATCCTCCTCCCAATCATTTGATTGGACTCCAGCACTCTGCTTCCACGTGCATTTTGCAGCCTATTCTAGCTGGCACCTGCACAATTCCAACTACTACTGCTACTGCTACTAAGTGTACTCAATATTTACCCAACCAGCCGCATTCATTCATCTTGTTCTGTGTTTTTCGGATTTTTTTTTCTTTCTTTCTTTCTCTCTCTTTTTTTTAAAAAAAAAAAAAAAATTAAAAGGCCACCTTATGGTGGTTAAGTTTCTTGTCCATTATCAAGAATCCAAAATCCGTGAACCTATGTATATGCTATGATATATATATATGTATTTTACTTCGATTAGATTGGTTGTTCTCAGTAAATGGAAAGGGCCGGAGCATCTGATAATATCTCCTACTCTTAGTACTGCGAAGATCGGGGGAGAGAGTCAGGGAGACAAGACATGAAGCTGCCAATTCCACTACCCAATAAGTCATTGCTGTTGGCCCGTTACAACGATGCTTGACCCACCATGGCATGGGACTGGCCCGTTCATGTTTTACTGTCCGGTTTCCAGAGAAAGATCCTAAGACAGCCGGTCTAGTCGCGCAGCTTAATTACACGGCTCCATTAGAAATAAGTCCAACTGAGCAGGCTGCAGGCCTGTCATTGATGACTGCTAGCTGCTCCTTTGGGCCATGGCCCATTGGAGCATGCTACTCCAATCCATCCGTGGGATTTTGCCTTTCTCGATGTCTTCCACCCAAGGAATCGGAGCTCCGGTTTCACCATGCAATGCATGTGTGAGCGTATTCTTAAGCTTTTTTGGTTATCATGCTTATCTCATTTGTTGCCGGATCGAAACTTTGAAAGAGAGAGTGAAATACAAAGAAGAAGTGAAAGTTGCTTCTCTTTGAATATAGGGAGTAGTTTGTTTGGCTGGAAAATATTAAAAACAAAGTGGCCAATTATGATTGCTTCTTGGTTAATTGGTACTACAAGTTCGTATTGAATTACATGAATGCTGACACGAACTGAAGGGCCAGGGCTGGTCATCTTGGACGAGAATTACCTACCTTCCTCTGTTCCTATCAAATTAAGCAAACGTGCATGGGAGAAAGATTTAACCATGTTAGCCAGTAGTTGCTTAGGCCTTGGACTGCCAGGTGACTCAGATTTTGCGAACGCCTGAATCCATCTAATCTAGTCGGTGCATGCGCTAAACACTAAGCTTTCGGCAAATTCCATCAGCCAGGGAATGCTGGTTTTGGTTAAACAGGAGAGCTGAGCCTGAGCAATGTGGTTGTCGTACCAGCTGCGCCTGCCCTACCGGTATGTATAGGCTCAACTGATCCAATTTTCTGCTCTCAGCGAGGCTGTCTCTGAATAACCGAATCTCACAACCATTGTCAAGTTTCAAGCACTTAGATTCAAATGGATTGCTTTTCCTCCACCAAGCAATAGGCTTTTTGGCTAGCTAGTATGCATAATGATAATGGTCCTCTAATTAAATAAGTTCATTATGCCCCATATATAGACATTTCCGACATAATCCATTGAAACCCACGAACTTAAAATCCTTTTTAGTACTTTTTCTTTGTTGGGTGATTAAACACATTCAATTATTCCTAGCTTTCATTAGTCATAACCATAAAGCAAGTAAAACAGGAAACCCCATTACGCTCAGGCTGACTTCTTGAGCAGTAGTCCCACTTCCTCAGTGGAACTTTCCTGTTTTGGCTGCTCGGTACTGATTAATGAGCAAGAAATTTATCCCCACAATGAGTCCAATCCTGTGAAAAAGTATGACATAAAAATTCTCAGGGGAAACCAACTCACCCTTTTGCAATTTTTGGTGGAAAGGCCCGCCATGATGAAGTAGATTTTTGATGTCGTGAACACCAATGCACTTGTCTCCCCATCCGCCTATATAAAATCCTGATGAACTGAGTCCTTTTGACACAGGCACGAACGGAGCTAGCTGGGGAATCTCCTCATGCGGTGCAAATTCTTAATTTGCAAAATCTAAGCTCGTTTACGTCGGGGCTCGGTAAGAAAACAAGTCAGCGCTTTAGCTTCCTACGGGTATATGTTACGTGTAATCATGGGCTTTTTTCTTGATGTTTTGCAGCTACAAACTAAGAATATGAAGGTGGTTACAGTTCTCTTGGTGGGGTTGATGGTTTGCTCCTGCTTGGCAGCTCCACGTAGACCTATGATGGGAGGAATGCACGATGAAGAAAGAGTAACTGTTGAAAATGGAGTTGCATCCACGGTTCAAAGTTGCGGTTGCGCCCTGGACCGTTCCACATCGGTGTCGGTGCTTCCATCTGTTAGCAAGGTGAGGGAGAAGTGGGGAATGGAGAACCCTTATAGCAGCACCGACAATCATCATAATATACCTAGACAGGACTATAATCAGTGGGGAAGCGGCAGCGGCTCCAGCAGTGGTGATGATAATGGTAACAACGATAATAATGACAGCGGAGGTGGTTAATTAGCTACAAACACCGTGTGTATAAGATACACTCCTGTATATCTTAAGTTATTAATAATAAGTGTCCCTCTGTATCGTGATAAGTGACTCTGCGTCGCTAAACGAAGGAGACTCCATGCACCTCAAAGTTATATATACTTGTGTGTGTGTAGTCCTATGTCTGCCTTCTTTCTTGGCGCTTGCAGTGGCATGTACTCTGTACTGGAAAGTAAGTTTGTATGTCAATGGCATCTCCTGCTTGATTACGGGTTCGCTTTCATTTGACAAACTTTGTCAAATGATTACAGCATTACAGCATTGGGTGGACAAACTTTGACAAACTTTGTGGAAGCAATTTTTTTGACAAACCATTACAGCATTGGGTGGACTGGAGTCTTGAATAACTCGGACATTGGAATGAATCAGCAAAGCGTCTGGCCCATCGTTTTCCAGAAAGTCCCATACTTTGCTTGGAATGCTAGAAATGAATTTCATGCTGTGGGAAATGACAGGGAACTGAAAATGAAGGCACGGGAACTGGAAGCCGAAGCAAAGCAAGCCCAGCTGGTGTAATCCTCGAAAGTGAACCCAAAACCCTAAAGAGGTAAGATCCATTAGCTGGTCGGTTGAAACCTGCTGAAGGTTGGATGAAAGTTAACGTAGATAGGTCATCGTCAAACAAATCCAGGATATGATGGCGCAGGGGGTCTACTGAACTGAGAGATGCAAAGGGGAGTGTTTTGGAAGGGTAGTTTTTGCGCCAAGGAGGGTATAGGCGTATGCCAAGCAACGTGGCTGCTGAACTCTGGGCTATGCTCGATCCATGGTATGGGCCTATGATTATCATGGGAGTTGGGGGTATAGAAAAGTTACTGCTACTTTGGAGTCTGATTCCCAAACAAGCATTCTGTTGATTACAGAGGATAACCGGGATGGTCCTCATCACAATTTGATTGCTCAACTGGAGGAGTGGCTTTCCGGGGATTGGGATTGTCAGCTTACCCGTGCATGGAGGGAGGCCAATGCGTGTGCCGACTGGTTAGCGAAGGGAGGTATTAGCTTGGATAGAGACTTTTTGAAGCTCCGGGATCCACCAGATGAGCTGACAAGTTTACGAAGAGTGGGTGGCAGAGGAGCGACCGCCCCAAGACTTGGTTCCTTGCAATTAGCTTAGGCCTAACGTTTCCAAAATAAATAAATAAATGTAATAAAAAAAATATCGGCCCATCCTTTACCAGCATATACTGCCATCTTTTTCACCTTGTAACTGCTACCACCAGTTTTTTTTAGTTCGGGTGTCAAGACTGAATCTTGAATCCTCTATAAAACATTTTAACAATGGAACAATAGTGTCATGGAAGATTTGGAGGACCAAAAGAATGTGCGCGCGGGGGGTGTGAATAAAATGTTAAAGTTGAGTGTTTTTCTGACAGACCAAAATAGTAGCATTTTATCAAATCCGTTTGGATTAACTGTTTTTTAGGATGTTTTTTGAAATATTTACTATAACAATATAGGTGAAAAACTTTTACTGTAGATGAGGTTATTTTTGAAGTTTTTTCTGGTATTTTTGTGATTGTTTTTGTTACGTATTACTGTAATATTGTGTATGAAAATCTTATTTTTAAAAAAATGACCAATCCAAATGCAGATATACTGCGCTCTACTTATCAACAAAAGAAAAAAAAAAAAGTGCTGTAACAAATAGAAGAGATGCTATATAATTCTGCGCGTGATTTCCTGGATTAGAAGAAACTAATGCACAATTTATTGTTGTGTTCTCCTCTCTGCGATTCATTTATTGGGCATTTCTTCCGAGGAAAAAACATATGATGTAACTGAACTTTTCTTGCTTTTGGCATGGGCGCCCCAGGTCCGATGTCTAGTTCCGCTAGCTTCGGATTCTCAATGCAGACTTTCATGTTTGGTCATGGCTTATGCGGGAATTGATCCCAATTTTGTCAAAGGGACGGTATAATGCGATACACTGTCACTTTTCGGAGTGACGGAATATCGAGTGGTAGAATTGTTTTTCTTTCAATCATCCAACACTTCCATTCCAATTTTCAAGAATTGAATCCACTAGAATCTTTCATACAGAGACGATTAAAAAGAAAGATCACGAAACTAATTGCCCCAGAACTAATGAGTTTTCCTGCAGATCTAGAAGCAGTGGCAATGACTGCAGTCACTATGTGCACGCTATAATATAGCAAGTTCCAAGTTTCTAGATGTCTCTCCATACAAAGTAACTACACAAGTAGAGAAAGGGGCCAGAAATGTTTCAGCTTTCCATGGCTGGTCAAGCCGATGCAATTTCAAACTATCCTTCCGTTGCAACTCTAACAGCAGTAGTTTGCGCCAACAAGGCTAAAAGGAGGAAGAATCATGGTAAAGCAGCACTAGTGCTTGGACCGCAGGTCCCTTGGGTATGGATGAATGGTGGCAAGTTCACTGACACGTCGTAAGATGGTTTTCGGCAGAGGACGCCAAGCCAAATTACGTTTTCTATCTTCCTGCATGGATAATCCTACTACATTAATGCCTACATCATAAATGCGGTACAAATATTGCATAAAGAAACAAGTCCAAATGAAAGGGTTGGGTTGAAGATTATGGGTAATTGCATCAGTGGAGACGTTTTAAGCTTTATTCCTACATGCCATCCAAGCAGGATTCTCAATATTTACAAGACAATAAGGTTTGAAAAATACACTTGATTCATAAACATATATGGGAAATTGGACACGTTCACCATCACACACTGGTGTTGCAGCAAGTTCCAGTTCTCCAGGTTATACAAACTCCCAAAAGTTTCACAATGTGCAACCAATGTGAAAGGTTATGTGAACTTCGGTGCAAGTCAGCCAACATACAAGGCCATGTAAACCAATACCAAGAGAATATTTAATAGAAGCAAAATATGAACAAAAAGAGAAGAATGAACAAATAAAAATGAGAAAAAGAAAAAAGAATGGTAAAAGGAGAAGGATAGTTTAACTAACCCCTTTCTTGCCTTCTGTTTGAGCACAGCTTGCTTTTAAAAGATTTCTCCATTTGTCCTGAAACATGTTGAGAGCCAGTATAAAGAGCTTCAGAGTTCAGATATCTTAAATTCTTAAAATGAAATAAGCAAGAGTGGATTTACCTTAAGATCTACAGGTGTACGATGTGCCGATGATGGAAACAAGTCTTTCTTTATACGGCTCCATCTTCCAACCCCATACTCAGAAACGCCATCAATCAACTTTTTGACCTCAGAAACAGTCCATAAAATATGATGCTTCCGTCGGCCACCATCTTCTCCCAATTTCACCTCTGCAATATCATCCTCTTCTGACTCATCCACTGAAGCTTCATTGTGGGGTTGTAACACAGCTTCTTTGTGGGGTTGTAGCACAGCTTCTTTATGGCGTGGTACAAAAGCTTGTTTATGGGGTTGTAACAAAGGTTTTTTATCAAGTTGTAACACCTGAACAGATGAAATTGTCAACTAATTTGAAGGTTTAGACAAGCATTTCATCAATTACATGTACAAAATTCTCCAAAATAAATTTTCCTTCCTTCCATTTAGTTTTCTCTTTTTCCTTCCATTCACTTTGATATTTCATCATTCATACGTATTAAGAGGCTTTGGGTTGTGCAGGGTCCTAAAATTTTCATGGATGACCAGCTCACTGACAAAATAGCAAAATCAAGTTGCTGTATGAGAATGAAATTTAACTGTTCTTGAAAAACAGAATTTGTCATCGCTTGTGCATGCCAGAATATTAGGTCACTCTCAATCATACTGCTGTGGTCTTACTCAAGTATTCCCCCCACCCCCACTGCCAAATATCAATCAAAATCTTCAGAGTTCAATGAGGAGGCCAAAGGTGATGATATTCCATTCTTACCTTTGCTACAATAGGAGCACGACTTGCCCGACTCTCTTTCGGTACCAAAGGCAAAGCACAACTTGTCCGACCCTCTTTGTGAACAATAGGACCGAATGGCACTTGGATAGCTTTTCCTGCAGAGTCCTCAGAAGATAATCTCTCTGCTCTAGATTTAATATCACAATGCTTGTGAGAACCAACTCGGGGAAATTTACCCCTTGAAGATGGAGTGGAAACCTCTCTTCTTTTGGGAGGTCTTGATTTAGGTTCTGATAGTTCATCAATGAACCTCTGTGGGGGCTTACGCAATCTCTTTTCAGCATGAGTAGCAATGCTGGCTTGGATGGGGCTCTTTGATGGTGATGCATCCTTCCCTAGAAGAGACACATTTTTATTTTCGCCCATCGGGACATGTTTAGTTTCTTGATTTGCAGTCAAAGGGCAAAGCACTTCTCCTGATGCAACATTATGAGTGCAACCCATCGTTTTGTTATTGCTTTCCAAAAACAAGCTTGAAACATCTTCCTCCATATTTTCAACAGTAAATGTAGGGTATTTGAACCACCTCTCCTCAAGCGACATTTCACTATCAGCAGTGCAGCTAAAAATATCATGTGACGTGCTGTCATTCATGTCAGGATCGCCCATGCACTTGTTCAGAACAGTAGGACCCGATAAATCTGATTTATGAGAAGTCTCATTATCACCAGCATTGTCCGCTGGATCATAACTTCCTGATACTAGTTTCTGCAATTCTATACTTGAATCATGATCCAAATTTTTACCATTTTCTCCAAAGTCAGCATCTGAATGATGTTACAAAATGTGGGGTAAGCTAAAGCAACAGCAATATGGCACAGGAACACTATGTAACTGTAGAAGATAAGCTCACCTAGAAGATAATCTTCACATACACTAGATGGACCATTTGGTGCTAGAAAATTTTCAGCCTCAATTTCACTGTGCTTTATATCAAGTCCCCGCTAAAACAGCAGTCCATAAAACAGTAATAACTAATAAGGTTCCGGAAAATAAAACCAAATAGCCTTTTATTCATGTCATGTCAAGCATGTGAAATATTGCTCTAAGCAAATGAAAGGCCAGAAGCAGTTTTGACAGACGGTAAAATTTCCAAACTCAATCTGGAGAAATAGATTAGTGGTGCAGATATGCAGGAAGAGATATGCCTCAGTGATTGTCGGACAAATAAAGAGAATGGATGCTATGCCCTCAAGTATTTCAGTGTCCAACCCTAAGTACCCCAGGACTTGGGATTTCTTGCATAGAAGGAAACACCATCTATGTCCTTAGTCAATATGCCTATCTTTGCATTAGGCAAGAAAAGAAAGCTCATATAACCCATCTCCCAGAATATATCAAACTAAACAGATAAAGATGTTCTTGTAGTGCATTCTGTCCGATTAAGCCAACATAGTGCCATGACCTTCCTTGTCAGCACAAATTAAGTTTTCATAAGCTAGATAATACAAGTCAACATCATAGCAACTCACAACCAATTAAAAATTCTCATGATATGGAATGAGGAACTAATTGTAAGCAGCAACTCCAGGCTGCATCAGTACAAGATGATGTGGAAAGCATATGTAGAGTATACACCACAGTCTAACCTTGATACTTTACATCCTAAGAAAGCATTAACTTAAAGAGAATTGAAGAAGTCAAAGTCCATTAAAAATCCATGAAATTTTCCCACCAAAAGTAATAGCTCAAGATACAGAAGTCTGCAAGGTTGCAACAAACATTCGCAGAAGATTAAAACCATTTAGAAGTCAAAGAAAGGATAGAATGCGTACTTCTTGTCCCAGTAGATGTTTCCGCTCAGGATCAGTGCCAAAATTGTCCCCACCTTTGTAAACAAGTAAACAAATAATCTACATTATAAGTGATCCTATTTGTTAACTAAGGAATATTCAGACAAACTATTTTTAGTACTGAACACAGTTCTTCCATTTGATGACCAATAAGCAAATTCTTGAAGAAGTCAATTATGCATATCTACCAGGGTTTATGACCGTAGATGAAGCCTGAACTTGTGATATGGTGTTGCATTTAAACTGGATGACCTATTGCATTCCAAACATGGACAAAATGCAACATAAATTTTGCACCCTCAAATGATTTTTAGCCACATATAGAGAAACATGGGGCAGAACTAATATACACTATTTTCACTTTGATGAGAAATAGTGGCATACAGATAAGATGTGCGTAGTCTTTCTTCCATCAAGGAAATTTATATGGACTACTAAAGAAGTCCACCTGAACTTGAAAACTTGGTGTATAATTGGTTAGGAGAGACAGCTAATATCTAAACTTTCATATTAACAAAGTATTATTGCATCCAATACATAGACCAAAAATCAACTGTTAATGATTCATTCAAATAAAGGAATGCGCAAACACAATAGGCTGTTAACATTAGGCTATGATAATGACATAGAATTTCACAAATCACTCAAACACATCGTAGCACAAACTAATGGAAATGATGCACAATTGACTGCAGGCCCGGCATTACTATCACTACTGCCTTTTTTCTGATGTGTTATGGATCACATTCATCACTAAAATCATTCTCCAGTACAATTTCCTCGCTGAAGAAATGAAAAAGTAGAATATAAGTGACAAGATTTCCCCAGTTACTAAAGCTTAAAGGTCAAGACAGATTGAATTCCACAAAAGTCAAAAAGGAAATGTTTAGTCCAGATTACAAGAGTCAGACATCAGTAATCTAGAAGTCCAAAAAGAGAAAACTCAGCCAACTTAGCACAGTGGATTTATCCCCCTGTTGAGAAAAACAGACACTGGTAGATTAAGTAGAGAGCTTATGCAACTAACAAGTCCATCAAGCAGCAGATGAATTAAAGTATGATTCCAGAGATAGCAGCAGATTCCTATGATCCGTACACGATCGATGACGCAATGAATTTTGGTGTCAGGCTTGCAAAAAAGGGTATTATCAGTATCTTATTAATTTCTAGATAAAAGTTTCTTCCCATTGGTTTCATGGTTTAGACATGAATGCATTTGTCTAAAACAAGAGGTAAATGGCGGTGACGAGAGAATAGTCCAGTAGTGCTACTAGTTTCCAGGCTATACCAAATTTGCAGGGAATATCTTCCATTTCCATGCACTTCTCTGGGCTATTTCTATGAAAACATAAGAAAGCATCCACTGAAACATGATCATCTTGGGGCTCAACAAGCAGACACTCAAATTGAATTGCCTCATCTTCTAAAACAGGAATAGCAGATTCATCCTCCATGACCTGATAGATAAGTAATAAATGAAGAGTCTCACAAACAAAAGGCCAAGAATATCAATCAAGTCAGAAGTAATTGTTATAGATATCTTTAGCTTTTTTGGATTAGCGCAACAACTACATACCAAATTAAGAAAGCTAACTAAAATTTTAAGTCAAGCAGTTACATGGCACATGCATGGTGCTTCAACGCAAAGGACAGCAAGTCCCTAGAATGGAATTATAATCAGCTGCGATTGGTTGCTAGAACATAATAACTCCTGATCTTGGAATGTCGTGTAGAGTTAACAATTGCTACTGACCATGCAAGTGCCAAATTAATTTTGAACTCAAGAAAAATTCTCACATCAGATATGCAGAAAGCAGTTCTCCAACCAACAACAGTATATTGGCGTGGGTGTAATCATATACCCTGAATAGATTGATCACTCAGAGTTTGTGGAAAACTTATTTCCTCAGAGCATTCATTGAATCAGCTGATGGTCATGCCATAAGGTTCGTCTACAAAGACTCAAAACTCAAATTTAGCAAAACTTTAACATTTTGACAAGTAAAGGACATCCAACAATGAGCATCAAAGGGGACTACCACGTAAAGAAGCATAGTGTTCAAAAACTTCAGAAAGAAGAAAAAGAGTCAGGTAACATCCCTGAAACCACAAGCAAGAAACAACCCCAACCCCATTTAACTATTTTTAAGGTTCCCTTCTCTCTTTGCGGGTATTTCAAAAATTGCAAATTGGTAAAGTGCCTATGACTGCAGAAACCCTTCTGCCCCTCCTTTGCAAAAGCCACCAGACAGCACCTAATAGCATTGAATAGACTCAATACTCTCAAAAGCAGTACATTTTAGTGGAAAAGTAGATGATTTGCTGTTTCTTCGTCTCTCTTGTTTAATTTATACAAAATGTATAGACCCTTTCCTTTTTCAAACATAGTCACCTGCAAGATACTCTCAAGACCCATTTGCCCAAAAGATAAGTTAAGAGAAGTTTTTTTCTTCTCCCTCTTTTCCTTCTTATGAAAATTCAATTTGGAATTGTAATCATAGTTTTAAACATTAAATCGCAAAGCTCATGACTTTTTGAATGATAAATTCACAATTCTTTCAGCAAAATCCAGAATTATAGAAATAGTCTGGAACTGTTAGAACCAAGCACTTCCTTCTCCCCAAGTTATCTGACATCTATTTAACTTCACAATCTTGATATCAAGAACAGCAGGAAACAAAATGTAGCTTCTCTTATTCTCTTTCAACTTAACCACTTCCTCTTTCCCTTCGAGACTTCAGAAAAATGCAGCTTCTTAAATCTTTAAACCACATTTTTCCACCATGTTCAGATTAAGTTGGAATAGACAGAATAAAAGCATTTCAACTTGCTTTCACGCAAATTCCGTTCAACCCCCTCTCAAACCCACAACAGAGATTAAAAAATTAGGCAGAAAAGGATTAAAAACGCCAAAAAAGAAATAAAACAAAGACAGCCAATTTTAACGAGAGAGAAAAAAAAAACCCAACATTGTGACAATTGTTGGAAAGTAACAACCAAATTGGGTGCATGTGCGGCAATGTAGAAAGCAAAATCAACATATAAAACCATAAGAAACACAATTTGAGGGAAAAAGCTTACCTGCTTCAACACCAATGTCAAGTTGGAAGCAGCAATTGAAAAACTTCAGTCGCTTTTTTTTTCCCCTTTTTTTTAACCACCACCGCAGAGCAGTGTACGGTGAGTGAGAGAAAGAATATATCCGGCAAAGAGGGGGTTGAAAAAAAAAATCCTTGCAGTAAAGTTCGCAGTATTCAACAATAGCAATTAGCACTACTCCTAGAACAAGAGATGAAGCAATCCAGAAGAGAAACTCAAGGTTTGCAGTGCTACACTAACTCGACGGAATCCAAAAGATGTTTAGGAGATTGGTAGTGTAATCAGTGTTTGGAGTCCGCTGTGGCGACGCGTGTAGGAGCGTAGTGGTGAGAGCGACTAGAGTGTTGTTGCCGATGCCATGACCTGTCAACCTTAAAGTTGACCTCCTTTGATTTAACTTAGAATCTCTGATCTCTTCATTTGACTGTCGTTTGAGTTAACTTAGAATCTCTAATCTCTTCATTTGACTGTCAGTTTTTTTTTTTTTTTAATAAATCTTAGATATATTTACTGTGCATACACGGTTGAATTTATGACACATAAAAAAATTTAAAATTTAAATTTAAATTTAGATAAATTATCATGCATGGTAACGATGTATATATTATTAATGTATAAAAGATTAATTCTTTTTTTTTTTAAGAAATTTTGACTGTCAGATAACAAGTGGTTTAACATCAAACAAATCAAACTGTAGGTTGAAAGGAAAATTATGAGATCATGGACGCAAAAGTTCGAGGCAAATACTAACCAACTTGGACCTTTTTTTAGAGAGTTCCAAATTAGACTTTTATACATTGACATTTTTCTTTTGGATATGTTAAAATTTAAGTTTCAAATGAATGATTCAAACCACATGGATTAGGTGTTTTTAGGGTGTTTTTTAAAAAATTTACTATAATGATATATATGAATTTTTTTTTTGTAAATGGTTAGATATTTTTAGGAGTACCTTTGGAGATGTATTTGAGGCATTTTTATAATTTTAAAAGCATTTTTTAAAAATTAAACACCACCACCCACTAGCATCACCTATCACCGCCACCACCCTTTACCATCCCCTACCCTCTCATCCCCTCTCTTCCCCCACTTTGTACCTTAAATTTTAAAAGTATTTCATATAGCCCCATATTTGTCCCCTGAAGTGTTGACATTTTTTACAATTATCCTTGCTATTTCAAGAATGGAAGATTGAAATAAAATAAAATTTTAATTTTACTTAAAAGTGAACTTTACTTGTATGTTCAGCCACGTACACTAGAATATTCATCTTATATTTTTATGTGTAATATTAACAATTTTACAAATTTATGCCATTGAATGACCTGAAACTTACCATACATAATAAATAATAAGTTCAAGAGAGTTTTTATTTTATTTTTGTAATCTTGGATAAATTATTTTATGCCTATTAAACTTATAATAAACACTTAGCTATACCCAAAGTCCACAAACTATACATTTTAAATTTAACAAAAAAATTATTATTGCATCCCCTATATAAATGTCGTGGCTCTGCCATTGGCCATGTAGGCACTTGTTTGTTAAGTTTGTTTTTTTTTTTTTTTAACATAAATGTCATTAGTTAAGAAAAGCATATAAATACAAGAAATACAATAAATGTGAATACATGCATTTATATTGTAAATCATTTGAAATTTAAGTGTGTTAAGGAATGTAAACTAAACACCCATTTAAAAAAACAAATCCATAAATTAAAAGAAAAATTTTTAATTGGTGCCCAATAAACCCTCATCAATATATCTAAATTACACATGATTTACCATATAAATACACACTAACAATTAGTATTATCCGACCTTGCATTAATATACTTTCTCTATTTAATTTTACTATTTCAGCAATTTTTTTTAACCCTCCCACCCCTCTCCATACCCTTCCAACTTTACTTTTCCAACATTTCAACACCTTAAACTCTATCTTAACTTACCCTAAACTAAAACATGTCCCTCAATCATTTCTAATTGTGTAAATCACAATTACTATATTTTATTATCATACATTATAACTTCACGGACAAAGATAGAAAATATACAGATGTATGAAATAGAAATACTACAATAAATAAATTCCTAATTTCACATCAACCTCTAAAAGCTTCCCTTCCAGGTGCAATTAAGCGACGAGGGATAAGAGAGTGAAGCAGGAGGAATGGGTATCCCCGGACATTCCGACAAAACGAATTCGAGGCGCACGAGCACCATTCTATCCACTCTTTTAGCTAGATCGACCATCACTGTGTCTTTGTGAAACTATCATATGCAAAAGATCATGAATATAACATAATTGCAAAGATATAAATTACATCCTAGATGGTATAAAATTTGAAAGGTAGACACCCTCCAACACCAACCCCAAAAAAAAAAAAAAAAATCATTGGGCTCATATCAAAAACAGTATAAGGAATGAGCAAAAGCAAAGCAAGTTAAGTTTGATCTTTTATTCCTTTATCTCCGTCTAACTCGCCGTTGGTTGCCAAGCCTCGAATTTTCACGTCGTAATACACTTCCTCCACTCTTCTAAGATCATATTTCATTCCTGTCATGAGCCAGAGAATATATAAGTAGGAATTCATTGAAAAGCCAAATAATAATAAATTCAGGCAGTCACCTAATAGAAATATGCAATCAGAACTGGCAGACTAAGTAGCCTTCTCAAGCACATAGGAAGATACAAGAAGGAAAAGCTTTACAAGAATAAAGTAAAATAAGAAATTTAAAACAAGAAAAAAAGGGTTAAACACGAAGGCTTCCGATGACAGGTTAAAACATGAATGGCGGATGTGAGAATTATTAGCTTACCATCAAACTTCTTGCGTAAAAAGTCATTCCGGAGATTAAGCATGCGAAACGATGCATGCAGATCCGTTAAGAACTTCAAGACCTTGCGAGGACAGTCATAATCTCCAGCAGTGACTTGGTTCACCACATATCTAGGCTGCAGGACCAATAACTGTTATCTGACGAAAACACTGTAGACATGCAAACAGCGTCCAGTGTATAGCAAACTCATAGAATGTCATATGTCACATCAGAATTACTTCTATTGAGAAAATTTATGAGCTAAAATAAATCAAAACAATAAAAAACCCTCATTTTGTTGAAAAGAACTATTTATCCACATGAGAAACATACAATGCCTTTATAATGTCCCACCAGAGGGGAATTATAAAAAAAAAAAGAAGACAGATGTAGAGAGAGACATTCAGACATCATCCACGATTTCATGCAAAAGCTCCTTTAGGATTTCTGGCAAAATGAGAAACACACCAAGGTTTCTTGTTGCTTTCAGACATTAATTTTTAATGTGAGCGGTGAGCATTCTTAAAGAAGTTGGGAGATCTTCTTTTGATGCTCATTAATGCCAGATAACTCATTTTTTACTTCTTTCAGATCATATTATTACCATCAGAACCCAAAAGCCTTTTATGGTAATTTCTACTGTAGATGAGTTTGATGCTAAAACAATGTCAACAAAAGTAACTTTCAGTTTCCAGGTCAAAACAAGAGACCAAAAGACAATATTTTCAACCTCCATAATGTGCTTACCAATTCATTAGACATAAAACAAATTCCTGCACAACAGAAAATCATAGATCAGTATATCCTCCAAAGTATGAAACAGGAGACCAAAAACTCAACATTTTAGAGGACAAGAAATGCACAACTCAATTGACATAAGAATCCTTTAGATGGCACCTAACAAAGAAGCCAACAAGTTTTAAAAATTATATTTATAAAAAAAGACCCAATCACATGCATATTTATCTCCAAAAAGACGACAAATTTCTAATCTGGTGTTCCAGCTTTCAATATCCTTCTAAGGGCCTTAACACAAAATAGACATTCTGAAATTTTTTTTTAGAGTAAAAGTAAATCAGTAGCAACAAAGTTATGGCATTCTAGTTGAGTCCAAATAAGCCCTCCAGAGAAAAGAACACAAGACTGTGTGGCCTTTAACAGCAGAACATATCTTTCTTTCCAAGCTAGCTTTGCTAACATTGTCAACAGAAAGATTCATATAACAGAAACCTGAAATCACGTACCAATAAGATAGTCTTCGACATCTAGCCCAAACTCTGAAGAATTTACTGCATCATGGATCAAAAGATAAAATAAAAAATCTCCACACAGACCTAAACCGATATGGTAAAAGTAAACAAAACAAAATGATGAGACAATTAAATAATTAAGCAAACAAAAGTACAAGCAGAAGATTAGTTGCCTACACATTAGGAAATGTTGAATGAGGGATACCCCTGTCCTAAGTGTGACAGTAACAGCAACAGTAGAGGTAGTACAAAACATTCAAATATTTTCCGATACAGAATCTTCTTAAATCATCAAAGAGGAAGCCTAAGATATCACAGTAGAAGCTTTTCTCATGCCCAATTGTGAAAATGGAAAAAAGCACATAAATTGAGGAAACATAGAAGAACTCTAGCTTGTATCCTTTAATTTGTACTTAAAAAAGACATATGCATCATGCAGATAAACTGCGCAAAGCATTCGAGAATCGACCTATCATTTGGAAGTTATAATTCCAGGTAAGCATAAATGAAAACATACATGCGAGTTTTTCCTGAGCTTCAGCGTGTAGAAGAAGCGTCCCAGTTTCTAACCAATGCATAAAAGCTAGCAACGAGACTACAGTCTGGGTCTCACTCCTCCAATCCCCATGAAACCTGCTTAAAAGGGACATGACCTTCTATAACTACTGGCCGAGTAACAGGTGAGAAACTAGAAGCTACAGAACATAATAAGATACAACTTGAAATCTCCCACTTACCGATAGTACTGCCCAGGGCATTCACGGATAATTTCCGCAATCCTACTAAAAAGATCTCTCAGCACATCAATCTGGCCCGTTGCCTTCTCCAGGACCTCTGATTGAGCATAACAGGTATCAGTTAAAGGATAATTGACATGATTTTGCAACCAGAATTTCAAAGTCAATGCTTGTTGAACAACTACACATAGCACAACCCAAGAAAAATTGGAAACAAAAAATTGCAGAATCTTTAAACTAAAACCATGGCTCAACCAAATTCTGCGGCGTAAAAGAAAGATAATAGCTAAAATTACAAACCCCTTCCCTTTCCCTTTCCCTCTCCACCACCCACCCACCCACCCAACAAAAACAGAAAAAAAAAAGGAAAAAGAAAAAAGAGAGAGTACCTGGGATGGGGCGGGTCTGGTGAACGAGAAGGAGGCTAGAGTGCATGAGCCTGGTAGTGGAGTCAATTTCCGTGGCGACAGCACGAATCCGTTCGCGTAAGTTTCCAGAATCTTCTAGATGGTGCCGAAAGTCCTCGAACTGTTTCTCAAGTTTATCAGAAGCGGGTGAGGGAGGAGCATGGGCTTCACCTTCGGGCGCAGTCGTCATTGACGTTGCAGAACTGAAAGAACAGCGGCGAATCGAGCTGAGCCCCGCAACCGTTACGTTTTTGGGAATGGAGTTGGAAATGAGAGGGAATTTGGGAGGAGAAAACAGTGAGAGAGACAAGCAGAGAGAAATGGGTTTAGGGTTTAAGGAGGAGGACGAGCGGGACACTGAGATTGCAGCGAAGGCGGCGTTTCTAAACACCGATTTCATGTTGCACTACGATTCATATACTGGTTGGGAGTTGGCAGCTACACTCTTCTAGACTTCTAGTACTTGATGAGTAAAGAGTGGTACAGAAGTATTAGTAGTGTAAATTGAAATTCGCTTTCAAAGCAACCCTGCAGCTTTTTTTTTTTTTTTACTAAAATTACGAAAAAGTAAATCTCACTAGTAGATTGTGATCATGTATTTTTGTGATTCATGCCACCCCAAAAAAAATCTAATTTTTTTTTTATACATATACAATGTGAACTTCTCAACTTGGAGACTAGTTTTCCATAATTCCTTTCTACAACGAATCACAAAAAAGAAAAAAAAAGGGCACATCGTAGTCAAAATGAAAAAGGAAATCCACGAATTTGGAATTTATAACAAGAGTTGGGAGTCGAAAATGTGATATGCTAATCAGCACTCTCAGTTTCATTATTACAATTGAAACGATAAAAGATCAAAGCAGAGAGATGAGGGAGGGCAAACAAACAGCTCAATCTGAGTCTTACACACCGTCGTCGTTTCTTCTTTTTTAAAAAAAAAAAAAAAAATTGTTCAGAAGTACTAATAAGTAAAATAGCCACCAGATTAATAAAATTATTTATGTGCACATGGATGGATAGGTACAAAGAGGGAATGCGAGAACCAAAAAACAAAAAAGCCTCGACGACGCATTCAATACACATCCTTTTGTTGTAAAAATGTCTGTGACCACTATCATCTCCTATTCCTTAGTCAGAAACTGTTTATCCTCTGATCAATCCAAAATTCAGTAACTATGATACAAAGTCTGTCAAAAAAACTAATCCTCCTGTATTTGTACAAAAATTATCATTGGCAAGAACCCAACTTCGACCTCATTTCTTCCCAAAAGTCACCAAACATAAGAAAGCTAATAGACGACTACCTACGCCACAGAGTAGGAGATAAACTAGACAAGGAGTCCAATCGTTTAGACTGTAACCATATTGCAGTAGCGTCCCGCAGCGCGTTATCAGCCACACTCCAGAATATCTGAAGAGAAAAATAAAGACAGACAAATTATGAGCACTTCCAGGCCTAAACATCAGATCATTTTTGTTGTTACATAAAAAACTCATCCGCACAAATCATTTTAAGAGAACCTCTCCTGTGAGCAGTAGTCACTAGTATAAGTACAAGAGTGTCTTATCTACCTTTGAGCATTAGCAATTACGAAAGCTTCCAGTGCCCATTTTGGATAACAATAGTTTGCTAGAGCACTCCCTATTTTATCTCCTTCGTCCTGATTTGCAACGAGTGTCAGAACAACAGGGACAAGAACACACCACTGCATTTCCAGAACAAGGAAGATTAGTATCAGTGGGACAAAATAAACACAAACCAACCACATATGCCAGTCATAGGTTTCTAAATGTTATGGCCCCTAGTACATACCAGTTGTGCTGGACTAGGCTCAAGTAAGATGGCAAATACGTATGCCATGCCTGTCACACAGTAGACGAGGCAAACCAATACAATGTAATTATCCAAGAAGGTTGATCTAGGATTGTTGAAGAAAAAGAACATTGAAAGAAAAACCAAAGGCTTGATTAGTGTATTGAAGTGATCAATGGTATCCTTTGCAAGAAAACAAGCTAAAGTGCTCATGCCACTTCCACTCTCTCTCCAGTATTGTAATTTGTCCAGTGAAAATGACCGCAAAGCTGCAATCTTGCCGAGGAGAGCTGCAAGTTAGAAATTAAAGATAATCAATGATTGGTTATGATGAAAAAGTTGAGTAAATTGCATAAAATAAAATACAACATGTGAGCGAAAATTAACCACAACAGCTTTCTGCCATACTTCACACGAGAGTTAAAAAATTAACTTTTATGAAGCTTCTACAACAAGCATGACAAACAGATAATGTCAGTTAACAACTAGGAAGTTCATTCAATCTCGGATTCTGTGAAATTGATAAGAACACAATCAAACAGATATTGCCACTGTTCTACTTACAAACAGCAATGACAGTATACATGTAACCACGATAGCCAAATGTGTCGCCCTTCACTTTTGAAAGAGTTCCTAAGCATGCTCCAGCAAGCAGAAGGATAAGATAATCCGCTGCTTGTATCTTAGCTTCTCGCAATCTCTGCTTGACAACCCTGTAGCGTTAAAGCACATTAATGCAGTAATAACAAGATAGAACAACTAAGGCAACCTACGACAACAGGCCACTGATGATAAGTGATTATTCAAGCTAGTCATATTCACCATCTTCAAGAGAAAGATGCATTGCATAAGTGATTTATAAGTGTGTTATGATACAATTTCTCTTAACATAATCCTCTACGGTGATTGGTAGACTTGTCAGTCAGTTTCTTCCTTGTAACTAACAATTTGTATTTGTATTGTCTTAAGGTTGTCGAAAAATACAATAGCGTATAATTTGATGTGAACAAAACTTCAATACCTCCCAAGGTAATATCTGTACTGTCGGAGAACACCAGCTGTGACTCGATTAGATAAGTCACTGGATGATAAAAAGATATGTTGCATATGTTCTTGCTTTTCCTGCAATGAATCTCCAACAAAAGATTGTTCACTGGCTCCACTAGCACTCGCATTTACACCAGTTGAGGATGAAGCAATTTGATCCAAATATTGCATCATATCATTGGGTACTGGATAACCTTTGTGAAGCATCCATCTAACTGGGAGCTGCTGAACAGTCACACCTCCTCCAGGTTTCACTATGCCCTCAAGAATGTCAATCAAGTGATCTGGAGGATTGGCACGTTCCGGGACATTGATTCCTATACTTCCGAAGTATTCTTCCACTTTCTTTACAGGTCCGTGGTACACGATAAGGCCACCTTTTGCTAGAAGTATCAAGTCATCAAACATCTTGTACAATGTGTAACTGGAGCAGGAAAGGACAAGTCATGACATCTCAAATGTATGGTTAAAAAGACAAACACATTCCAACAGCAATTAAATGGCAACCGTAAGAACGTGAACTCACAACATGTATGTTCTGTTTACTTTTTAATTTGCTGGATCTTATAGGATAAAACATACAGAGCACTGAATAGTATACATATGTTTGCACAACCAGATTGTGCACAACGTCATCAGTAGCTTTTTTTTCATCTATCACTGATTGAATGCAAGGAAAGGAGATTATTTATTCTCTTTAAGGTACGGAAGGGCATTGCCACTTGCTGCCTTAACATGTCTATTAGGTGGTTTAAGACATAAGTCCACTAGCCATAAAGAGCCAAAAGGGGTACTAGCCATTTATAGTTTTAACCTCTAGTTTGAGCTATATCAACTCTGGGCTATGCTCGATCCACGGTATGGGCCTATGATTATCATGGGAGTTGGGGTATAGAAATGTTACTGCTATTTTGGAGTCTGATTCCCAAACAAGCATTCTGTTGATTACAGAGGATAACCGGGATGGTCCTCATCACAATTTGATTGCTCAACTGGAGGAGTGGCTTTCCAGGGATTGGGATTGTCAGCTTACCCGTGCATAGAGACTTTTTGAAGCTCCGGGATCCACCAGATGAGCTGACAAGTTTACTAGGGGTGGGTGGCAGAGGAGCGACCGCCCCAAGACTTGGTTCCTTGCAATTAGCTTAGGCCTAGCGTTTCCAAAATAAATAAATAAATAAATGTAATAAAAAAAAATATCGGCCCATCCTTTACCACCATATACTGCCATCTTTTTCACCTTGTAACTGCTACCACCAGTTATTTTTAGTTCGGGTGTCAAGACTGAATCTTGAATCCTCTATAAAACATTTTAACAATGGAACAATAGTGTCATGGAAGATTTGGAGGACCAAAAGAATGCGTGCGCGGGGGGTGTGAATAAAATGTTAAAAGGAGTGTTTTTCTGACAGACCAAAATAGTAGAGCATTTTATAGGATCCATTTGGATTAACTGTTTTTTAGGACGTTTTTGAAATATTTTACTATAACAATGAAAGTGAAAAGCTTTTACCGTAAATGAGGTTGCTTTCGTGTTTTTAAGGTTATTTTTGATATTTTTGTAGTTGTTTTTGCTTGTGTATTACTGTAATATTGTGTATGAAAATCTTGTTTTTAAAAAAATGACCAATCCAAACGCAAATAATCTGCGCTCTACTTATCAACAAAAGAAAAAAAAAAAAAGTGCTGTAACAAATAGAAGAGATGCTATATAATTCTGCGCATGATTTCCTGGATTAGAAGAAACTAATGCACAATTTATTGTTGTGTTCTCCTCTCTGCGATTCATTTATTGGGCATTTCTTCCGAGGGAAAAACATATGATGTAACTCAACTTTTCTTGCTTTTGGCATGGGCGCCCCAGATCCGATGTCTAGTTCCGCTAGCTTCGGATTCTCAATGCAGACTTTCATGTTTGGTCATGGCTTATGCGGGAATTGATCCCAATTTTGTCAAAGGGACGGTATAATGCGATGCACTGTCACTTTTCGGAGTGACGGAATATCGAGTGGTAGAATTGTTTTTCTTTCAATCATCCAACACTTCCATTCCAATTTTCAAGAATTGAACCCACTAGAATCTTTCATACAGAGACGATTAAAAAGAAAGATCACGAAACTAATTGCCCCAGAACTAATAAGTTTTCCTGCAGATCTAGAAGCAGTGGCAATGACTGCAGTCACTATGTGCACGCTATAATATGGCAAGTTCCAAGTTTCTAGATGTCTCTCCATACAAAGTAACTACACGAGTAGAGAAAGGGGCCAGAAATGTCTCAGCTTTCCATGGCTGGTCAAGGCGATGCAATTTCAAACTATCCTTCCGTTGCAACTCTAACAGCAGTAGTTTGCGCCAACGAGGCTAAGAGGAGGAAGAATCATGGTAAAGCAGCACTAGCGCTTGGACCGCAGGTCCCTTGGGTATGGATGAATGGTGGCTAGTTCACTGACACGTCGTAAGATGGTTTTCGGCAGAGGACGCCAAGCCAAATTACGTTTCCTATCTTCCTGCACGGATAATCCTACTACATTAATGCCTACATCATAAATGCGGTACAAAAACTGCATAAAGAAACAAGTCCAAATGAAAGGGTTGGGTTGAAGATTATGGGTAATTGCATCAGTGGAGACGTTTTAAGCTTTATTTCTACATGCTATCCAAGCAGGATTCTCAATATTTACAAGACAATAAGGTTTGAAAAATACACTTGATTCACAAACATATATAGGAAACTGGACATGTTCACCATCACACACTGGTGTTGCAGCAAGTTCCAGTTCTCCAGGTTATACAAACTCCCAAAAGTTTCACAATGTGCAACCAATGTGAAAGGTTATGTGAACTTCGGTGCAAGTCAGCCAACATACAAGGCCATGTAAACCAACACCAAGAGAATATTTAATAGAAGCAAAATATGAACAAAAAGAGAAGAATGAACAAATAAAAATGAGAGAAAGAAAAAAGAATGGTAAAAGGAGAGTGATAGTTTAACTAACCCCTTTCTTGCCTTCTATTTGAGCACAGCTTGCTTTTAAAAGATTTCTCCATTTGTCCTGAAACATGTTGAGAGCCAGTATAAAGAGCTTCAGAGTTCAGATATCTTAAATTCTTAAAATGAAATAAGCAAGAGTGGATTTACCTTAAGATCTACAGGTGTACGATGTGCCGATGATGGAAACAAGTCTTTCTTTATACGGCTCCATCTTCCAACCCCATACTCAGAAACGCCATCAATCAACTTTTTGACCTCAGAAACAGTCCATAAAATATGATGCTTCCGTCGGCCACCATCTTCTCCCAATTTCACCTCTGCAATATCATCCTCTTCTGACTCATCCACTGAAGCTTCATTGTGGGGTTGTAACACAGCTTCTTTGTGGGGTTGTAGCACAGCTTCTTTATGGCGTGGTACAAAAGCTTGTTTATGGGGTTGTAACAAAGGTTTTTTATCAAGTTGTAACACCTGAACAGATGAAATTGTCAACTAATTTGAAGGTTTAGACAAGCATTTCATCAATTACATGTACAAAATTCTCCAAAATAAATTTTCCTTCCTTCCATTTAGTTTTCTCTTTTTCCTTCCATTCACTTTGATATTTCATCATTCATACGTATTAAGAGGCTTTGGGTTGTGCAGGGTCCTAAAATTTTCATGGATGACCAGCTCACTGACAAAATAGCAAAATCAAGTTGCTGTATGAGAATGAAATTTAACTGTTCTTGAAAAACAGAATTTGTCATCGCTTGTGCATGCCAGAATATTAGGTCACTCTCAATCATACTGCTGTGGTCTTACTCAAGTATTCCCCCCACCCCCACTGCCAAATATCAATCAAAATCTTCAGAGTTCAATGAGGAGGCCAAAGGTGATGATATTCCATTCTTACCTTTGCTACAATAGGAGCACGACTTGCCCGACTCTCTTTCGGTACCAAAGGCAAAGCACAACTTGTCCGACCCTCTTTGTGAACAATAGGACCGAATGGCACTTGGATAGCTTTTCCTGCAGAGTCCTCAGAAGATAATCTCTCTGCTCTAGATTTAATATCACAATGCTTGTGAGAACCAACTCGGGGAAATTTACCCCTTGAAGATGGAGTGGAAACCTCTCTTCTTTTGGGAGGTCTTGATTTAGGTTCTGATAGTTCATCAATGAACCTCTGTGGGGGCTTACGCAATCTCTTTTCAGCATGAGTAGCAATGCTGGCTTGGATGGGGCTCTTTGATGGTGATGCATCCTTCCCTAGAAGAGACACATTTTTATTTTCGCCCATCGGGACATGTTTAGTTTCTTGATTTGCAGTCAAAGGGCAAAGCACTTCTCCTGATGCAACATTATGAGTGCAACCCATCGTTTTGTTATTGCTTTCCAAAAACAAGCTTGAAACATCTTCCTCCATATTTTCAACAGTAAATGTAGGGTATTTGAACCACCTCTCCTCAAGCGACATTTCACTATCAGCAGTGCAGCTAAAAATATCATGTGACGTGCTGTCATTCATGTCAGGATCGCCCATGCACTTGTTCAGAACAGTAGGACCCGATAAATCTGATTTATGAGAAGTCTCATTATCACCAGCATTGTCCGCTGGATCATAACTTCCTGATACTAGTTTCTGCAATTCTATACTTGAATCATGATCCAAATTTTTACCATTTTCTCCAAAGTCAGCATCTGAATGATGTTACAAAATGTGGGGTAAGCTAAAGCAACAGCAATATGGCACAGGAACACTATGTAACTGTAGAAGATAAGCTCACCTAGAAGATAATCTTCACATACACTAGATGGACCATTTGGTGCTAGAAAATTTTCAGCCTCAATTTCACTGTGCTTTATATCAAGTCCCCGCTAAAACAGCAGTCCATAAAACAGTAATAACTAATAAGGTTCCGGAAAATAAAACCAAATAGCCTTTTATTCATGTCATGTCAAGCATGTGAAATATTGCTCTAAGCAAATGAAAGGCCAGAAGCAGTTTTGACAGACGGTAAAATTTCCAAACTCAATCTGGAGAAATAGATTAGTGGTGCAGATATGCAGGAAGAGATATGCCTCAGTGATTGTCGGACAAATAAAGAGAATGGATGCTATGCCCTCAAGTATTTCAGTGTCCAACCCTAAGTACCCCAGGACTTGGGATTTCTTGCATAGAAGGAAACACCATCTATGTCCTTAGTCAATATGCCTATCTTTGCATTAGGCAAGAAAAGAAAGCTCATATAACCCATCTCCCAGAATATATCAAACTAAACAGATAAAGATGTTCTTGTAGTGCATTCTGTCCGATTAAGCCAACATAGTGCCATGACCTTCCTTGTCAGCACAAATTAAGTTTTCATAAGCTAGATAATACAAGTCAACATCATAGCAACTCACAACCAATTAAAAATTCTCATGATATGGAATGAGGAACTAATTGTAAGCAGCAACTCCAGGCTGCATCAGTACAAGATGATGTGGAAAGCATATGTAGAGTATACACCACAGTCTAACCTTGATACTTTACATCCTAAGAAAGCATTAACTT